TGTTGATGGAAGTGGAAAAGGAAGTTGTTCAGCTGCAAAAGTAAGCACAAAAGAAAGAGAAGGAGAGGACAATGTTGAGAGATTAATGAGAATGGTTCTAAGAATGGGTGATGATCATTTGACAATAGAATTAAGTCATTGTGCGAGCGCCAGTAATTTTCATATGTCAGCTAAGTGTATCAGAGAGCTGTTGGTGGGTTTTAATTGGCTTGATGTGTCTACCCTCCAAGTTTGGTGCACGTAAGTACATTTTCTATTTTTATCAGTGTCAATATCTATTAATATGTTATATCTCTCATCACTTTTATTATAATGTTGATTTTAAAATTTTTTAGGTATATTCATCGTTTGTGTATTGATACTTCACAATCTAAAGTATACGGATTTATGGACCCTGCTATGTGTTCGTACGTTGATCATGTGCCGAGATCTCAAGCAGATGTCAAACAATACATACAACATAAGTTACGTGACGAAAAGAGAGAGTGTCACTTGCTACCATTTATTCATGGGTAAGTTTGTATGAAACTATGTTTTCTATTTTTTTAATTTTGGTAACATATATAATTCAATTTTGGTAACATGAAATTGTGACTTTTGTGTTTCCACACACATGTACAGAGGTCATTGGCAATTAATAGTCATGTGTCCAAATGATAATACGGTGGTCGTCTTTTGTTCCCTTCATCATGAACTTAATCAAACCATGACAAAAATTGTTACAAAGTAAGTTTATTTTTTAATGTTCACTTCATCCTATATACATAATTTGTTACAAAAGTAATATCATATATTGTGTGGCTTTATATGAATTTTTTTCTTCTGAATTAGTGCTTTTGGGGTTCATCAAGCGGCAAATGGGAATAGAAAAAAGGCTACATGGCTTCAACCCAATGTAAGTGTGGTGTAAATTATAATTAGATATTTAATTTTATCATATAAGTATTTACTAATTATGTCATTCATTTGTAGACAAGGAAACAACCTAACTCTCATGATTGTGGGTATTATGTGATGAAAAATATGTTGGATATTGTCTCTGCCAATATAACTAACTCTTGGATGAAGGTAATAAAAATGACTTTAATTTGTTATTTACTTTACGTTTTGCAACTTAATATGAATTTTCAAAGAATAACTCTATTGTTACTTACGTGTTGTAGGTATTTGATGACCCAACGAACCTATCGCCCGATGATTTGTATGATTTGCGACTCCGTTGGGCAACATGTTTCTTTGAATTATATAAAGGTTAACCTTTTTGTTGTTGTAGTACATTTGTGTAGCTTTTTGTTGTTAGCACATTTGTGTATAAAGGTTAACCGGCCTTTTTGTTGTTAGTACATTTGTGTATATCCTTTATATTGACACTTTTGTGAATCACTTATTTGTATACTAGATATTTGGTGCAATCAAATTAGATTTATGAGAAAAATATGAAACTAACGACCTAAATATGATCTATGTGATGTTGCAAAACTATGAAAATAGCGACCTAAATGTGGTCTATATGATGTGCACTATGAAAATAGCGACCTAATTATGGTCTGTGTAATGTTGGAAAAATATGAAAAATTAGGTACCAAAAAAGATACAGGGAACGACTAAAAAATAGGCAAATAATTTATACTCGTAACAGTACTTTTTACATCGGGCGAAAGAAAAAACCGATGTAAAAAACTACCTTTTACATCGGTTTAACCACAGAACCGATGTAAAAAGTGTCATTTCCTACAGTACTTTTCACATCGGTTGAACCAACAAACCGATGTAAAAAAGTGTCAGCATGAAATTTTTTTTTTCCTCCAGTACTTTTTACATCGTTTTGTCACGCAACCGATGTAAAATACCCACCTTTTACATCGGTTTTTCTCTGCAACCGATGTAAAAAACACCATTTTATAATTAAAATTTACAGTTATAAATTTTTTTTCACATCAGACTTAAAAATTTAACCGATGTGATTGGTGTATTTCTTACATCGGGCCACAAACCCGATGTAAAATGTCTTTGATTTATTACATCGCCTGACTTTACATCGGACTAAGACCCGATGTAAAAAGTCAATTTCGCCCGATGTAAAAAGTCGTTTCTGCACTAGTGTCTCTTTGCTTGTTCAAGTATTGAATTTGTTTTTCAAATTAAAAAAAAATGACCAAAGAATTTGAGAAGTAACATAACCTGACCTAAAGGAAAGGGTGCATCTAATACTACTAGAAAATTTGAAAAATGTGGTCCTAACTTAATGAGAATGTTCATTTTTCATCATTAGTTTGGTAATGGTAATTGTACAAAAGTATGGTCCATACTAAAATTCTACAAATGAATAAACCCTTCATTAACTCCAAAAAATGACAACATGAATCTATCAGTTTAAATTTAATGTAGCTTATAGAAAATATTATTTTAAAATGGATAGTTGTTGAATCTTTACCCAACAATATTATCGAAAGAATATAAAATTTATGTCGAAAAATATCATTCTTACTCAATGCCATATATATATATATATATATATATATATATATATATATATATATATATATATATATATATATATATATAGTAATAGAGTTGAACACTTCAAGAACTCACCAATCCCCGTCACAGTACTTCTTTTTCAAAAGGAGCAACTGGTTTAAATGACAAGAAGAATAAATATTAACTAAGTAATAAACTTTTTTTAGGTTAGTAAGGAAAATGTTTGACCATTAGAAAGAAAATGAAGTGATGAACTAATTGTTGAGAAATAAGTGTGAGTTTTACGTTTCATGTTGTTTAAAAAAGTGGAGGTTGGACATTTTATAAGTAACAAGACCCATACACCTATCACCTTAAGATTTTGACTGAATATGTGGTGTCACTCTTACTTGTTTGTGTGAGTCTTTGACCTTTAGGCGAGTGTTTGACCTAATGTGGATGTTTTTCCTCCATAATAACCCATCTTTGATATCAGAGTTGATGGTTCGAGTAAGAGACTGAATCCTTGTGTCGAAAGTCTTTTGGACATGGTGGCGAAGCAGCATGTCCTATTGTAGTTCCCATGACGAGTAATGACACCTGTCAATGGCGGTACGAGCATGTGGAGGAAAGAGCTTTCGCTTGAGGGGGAGTATAGCGGATGAACTCACACTTCTCGTTCACACATTTTGTCAAACACTTGGCGTGCGAAATCATTTTGAAAACTTCTCCATGGCAATAAAGATTGCAAGAAACAAGAGTGATTCTAAAGGTAGTGGAAAGGCTGTCATATCCTCTACCGTTCCAGAAACTGAATTTTCGTTGGTTTCTTCTACTTGTGTTAAAGAATTTGAAGAGAAGTGCCAACACCGCCTTGTTATGAAGCAACATGTTTGGAAACCTGTTGTTGTTGGCTGCTTGGACATTCTGGAGGTTGTTCGTCTTGTCGAGCATCAACAGATAAACTATTTCTTGAAGCTTTCACAAGATTACGATGACGACCTCATTCGTGTGTTCTACTCCGGGCTGCATGGTAGACACGACTCCTCTTTCAAGTTCATAATAGGTAATACAGTTTATGATTTTACTGATGATGTTTAGAAGTTGTTGTTTGGAATTATTATTGTTAGTGTTGATGCTGAACTGTTGGTGACGAATTTCAATTTTCATCAAGATTTTAAATGGAACATTCATTTGAATGAGTTGCTTAAGGCTTCTCGGCCCGATGACTACTACGAAACCTTATTAGTCATCTAATTGAAAATGGTTCCTCGTATTTTGCTTTGCCTTGTTTCTCATGTGTTGCAACCAAAAAGTGGTGATTACTCAATAATTGACAATGCTAAAATCCATCTTGTTTACATTCTTCTCAACAAAATTCGGATAAATTGGGCAAACTTCTTCGTGTCCCGGATGTTTGCCTTCAAAGAATTTAATAAAGGAACTTTATTTTGTTATGTTTCTATGATTACCAAAATCTTAAACTATTTTAACATAGAGCTGCCACATCTTCAGTACAAATCTCCTAGCCCTGCTTAAGAATTCTCCCATTGCACTTTAACCAACATGGAATACTTTTGGAATGAAAATCGTCAGGTATATTATTTCCATGTTAGCAAGAATGGTAAGAAAATCTATAACTTTGATGACTTTGCTGAGTTTGTTGATGTTGTTGAGCCACATGTGGTTGATGATCAACCTATTGAAAATTGAATATTTCAACAGTTTCTACAAAAACTCAAAAAAAAATTGAATATTTTAAAATATTTATAATGTTTTATGAAGTAGATAAATACATGATTCGAAAAAAAAACGGTATGTCCGCATGTGTATATTCTTATATGTACTAGGAAAAGTTGTATGATTGAGAGAGAACATGAGAATGAGAAAGAGATGATAAAAGGGTGTGTGAATTTAAAATTGATTGAGCGGTTCACTGATATTTGTAAATTGATATGTGATATATATATATATATATATATATATATAAATATATATATATATATATATATATATATATATATATATATATATATATATATATATATATATATATATATATATATATATATATATATATATATATATATATATATATATATATATATATATATATATTTTAATAAACTGTTGTTGTTTTGGATAAAGAAAGCATAATGATAAAACCTAAAATAAACATGACAATTAATTATTAATAAAATATATATAAAAAAAGAAACAAGTAGAATTTTAAATGGCGACCCTATTTTTTTGAAGTTGGCAAAGTATTAAAAAGTTAAAATGTAAAACATTTTATTTTAAGTAATAAAAGATAATATTTGAACGAGATATATTTTTTTTAACAACGATTTTTGATAAAAATAGAAAAACAAAATATTGTTTGTGATGATGTTGGAAATGTTCATAAGTTTATTAATTGATTAAGACCTAGTCAAATACAACTCAAAATACAGTTATATTTTCTTTATAAATACATTGTTACATTATTGAAATTATATAAAATTATCTTCTTCCAAATATCCTCTTTCAAATTTCTTAAAATGACAGAGTCAACAGGAGAAGAACATATGTTTATTGAGCAAATTCTTATTTTTCCATCAACATCAACAACAAGAACAAGAATAACAACAACCACGACCACAACATCTCTTCCTTTAACATTTCTCGACTTGCCTTTTGCAGGTCCAAAATACGTTAAACGTCAATTCTTTTATCGCTTTTCTCATTCACCCAATCATTTTTACCAAACAACACTTCCATCTCTCAAACACTCTCTTTCCCTTACACTTCAACATTTCTCCCCCCTTGCTGGAAATCTTCATTGTCCCCCACCACCCCATAAACCTTTCATTCTTTGCACTCAAAACGATGCTTTAACTTTGACTGTCATTGAATCCTTGGGAGATTTCAACAATCTCTCAACCAATCACCACCCAAAAAGTGTCAAAGATTTTTCTCACCTTGTCCCAAAATTAACACAAAAAATAGACATTCATGATAATGAAACCCTAATATTTTCATTGATGGCTTTACAGGTAACTTTTTTCCCTAACCATGGTCTTTGCATTTCCATCACATATTGCCATGTGATGGATGATTACTTTTGCAATCATTTCATGAAATCATGGTCTTGTATTCATAAAAAAGGTAAACTCGTTGACGTAAAATCACTACCTTGTTTTGACAGACAAGTCTTGAGAGACCCAAGAGGACTTGAGAATGTTCTATTAAAAGGCTATTTTGAACAGAGAAAAATGTGGAAGAATAGAATCCTTATTGAAAGTCAAACTACAGAAGAAGAATATGTTAAAACAACTATTATTTTTACAAAAGAACAAATTGAGAGGATGAAAAATTGGATATTTAAGAAATGGAAAACAAATTATCCTGATATCCAAGCACCAAAATTTCTATCTAAATTTGTTGTAACATGTGGTTTTGTTTGGGCCACTATGGTTAAAACAAAAAATAAAAATAAAAATGATGAAGATGAAAAAGATGAATATTTTTGTTTTGCAGGTGATTGTAGAGAGATACTAGGGTACCCAATACCAGAAGGTTATTTTGGAAATTGTTTAACGTTGTGTTTTATAACCGCGAAAAGGAAGGATATGAAAGGAGAATATGGTTTTTTGAGTGTTGTTAAAGCCATTGAAAATGCAGTAACAGATATGAAAAATGATCCATTAAAAGGTGCAGAAGAATGGGATGATAACTTTAAAAAGGTTTTTATGTCTGGGAATCATTTGTTGGTAAATGGGTCCCCTAAGTTTAATGTTTATGAGACAGATTTTGAATTTGGAAATCCTATTAAAGTTGAGATGATGTTGCATTCATCTAAGGATATGTCACTTGCTGAAAGTGGAGACAAAGAAGGGGGGCTTGAAGTTGGTTTGATATTTGAAACACATGAAGTAGAACATTTTTATTCTTTCATTGAACAAGGACTTGAATCTTTGAAGTTCTAAAAAATATACTACCATTATTATTTTATTTATGTTATTTCAAACATTATTTGAAACACATGAATTAGAACATTTTTATTCTTTCATTGAACAAGTTTACATTGATGAGATGTTTTTAAGTCCCCAGAGAAAGGAAAATACTGCAGTAATGCAAAAAAAATTACAAACTCAGTCAGGAGTTACAACATGCGTCTTAACCCCGCTAAATGATTTTTAAGGTTCAGGCAGTCAAGATCTTAGGATTCATGATCTTAGGAGTCATGATTTTTAAGGTTGTAGCTTAAGTTAGCTTAGTAGGCTATAAATATACTAGTTCTCTTAGGTTGTTGAGAGAGGTTAATTGTTGTTATTCACTTGTAATCTTTGAACCCTTATTGAGTAAGTGGGTAGTAAAACAGTTTTAACCAATTGCTCTTCTTTCTTCTCTCTTTCATAAAAAATATTAAGGTTTCTTGTGTTTATTCAAGAAACTTAATCTTTTTATCATATTTTTAGTTTATTCTTGACAACATCGATTCACAACAAACTGGTACGACGAGTGTGAAGGAAAAGATGTCATCAACAATGATGAGATTGAGAAATTCACTAGTGTGAATTCACTAGTGTTTATTTAATATTTAGGGATTTTTTTTGAAAACTTTTAGTTAAATAGAATAATAAAAAGACTATTTTAATGAAAATTATAGTGGTATTTGAATAATACAAAACTACTTTCACTTAAATTATTAAATTAAATCTATATTAAATTTTGTCTCCGCGTCTAAGGAAAATTCTGTAACTCACTTATTTTAAATTTTGGATTAAATATATATTTTAAAAAATCAATAAAAATAAACATGAGAAAATAAATTGTCATAATGATCTAGATAAAATAATAATTATGGGGTATGGTTGAATAAATAATTGTGATCATAAAATATATAGGATGTACTACATAAGTAAGTAATTTTACTAACGTTTCCTAATATCCTAAAAGTTTTATTTTGTATTTTTAATCAAAAAATATTTCAAAATTAAACTTTTTTATTTGAAAAATTCAACAATATTATACTTTCTGTAAAATTTAATAATTAAGATCATTGACATGAACAATAGTGCATGCATCAGCATTGTTAAAACCCAACTTTTACAACCAGCAATCAACTTTGGCAACCTTTTGGTACATGAAAGTTACAGAATTAATTTTGAAAAAAATGGAAGTAGTTGACTAATGAATTATTAAGGTGTATATGAATGTATCCGGAAATTTATTTTCTAAATTAAGATGTATTTAGCCACATATGAGGTGGAAGAAGTAACCCACAATATTATTGGCCCATTCTAAAGAATTGGGCTCTTCCTTGAAAGATGATAGAGATTTTGTCTTGTCACCTCCAATTAAGATGTATGTAGCTTTTATTTGTTAGACGATGATATTGATTTAGAATAGGGGTTGAATAGATCATTAATTTTTAAAACTTTGCACGTTAAAAATTTGTTTTACTAAATAGTGCGAAGCGGTATTGGATCAAAAATCGTCTAAACGAACCGTTATTGGTAAGATCGGATATGCGAAACCGAATAAAATAAAATTGATGAGATGAACGAATCAATAATTTTCACAATCAATTATTCAAATGAAAACCACTTAATGTGAACCAATTTCCAATGATTAATAGTGAATAAAATTGAATTTACAATATGTCGAACAGTTGGTGTGTTATCAATTTATCTAACACTTGGCGTGCAAAACACTCCAAGACAAGTTCCTTTAATTTGTAGTGCAAAATTTTCCACAACTTGCAATCAAAGTGATTGCAATAGTTTTTCACAAAAGTTTTTAACACTACAAATCAACTGAAATATTTTCAACAGTTGATCACACACAAACTTCAACAATGTAAAGTATATATATATATATATATATATATATATATATATATATATATATATATATATATATATATATATATATATATATATATATATATATATATATATATATATATATATATATATATATATATATATATATATATAGATAGATAGATAGATAGATAGATAGAGAGAGAGAGAAAGAGAGATAGAGAGAGAGAGAGAGGGGGAGAGAGAGAGAGAGAATGACACCCGATTTGTTTAGGCAATTCCCCTTTCGTCCTCGCTTCGGGTACGTCTGCCCCCAATTCTAAAACTAGAATTGAGATATGCATAATATCTGTTGCAAAATTCAATTACAAGAGAAGTTCTAGCTACCACACAATCAAACCTAATTGTTGATTTTGATTCTATCCACTTCTCTCCTCTTGATTCCAACCGAATCAAGTGCATTAAACGCATCGAACAAACCTCCAGTTACCACTACTTACTTGACAAAACTTTTCGTTCTTCAAGTCTTTCACTCGACTGATTTCAATCGCAAGCTATTTGACCCCAAATCTTTCAATACAATCCTTCGGTTACCATTACTTGCTTGACTGAACCCATCATTCTTCAAGCCTTTCACCCAGCTAATTCTATGATACAAAGATTTGTGCAAAACTTCCCAAATCCCTCAAGATCTTGGAGGACAAAACCCCAATGGTTTTATTCAAGAAAATCCCACTGAATCTCAACCTAAACTAGATTAACAATTCCTGAGTTTGGACGTTATCACCTCGACAAAGCACAACTCAACAAAGATGACTAAGTGTGATTGTTGAAGAATGCAAGTTTGAGAATGAAGATGAAAAGCAAATCAATGTATCTTTCAATTTTCTTGTTTTATTTTTAGTAAATGATGCATATGAGAATATATATGAGTATGAAAGAATAACAGAAAAAACTGACTTTGGAAACACAAAGGTGGAGAAAAATGAGTTAAAACACGGGAGAGGCCGACCTACACCCACTGTGCGTCGACCTGAATAGATTAGAAAGCAAACCTGTGCACAAAATAAAACTGTGTGTCGACCTGCAGCTAGACCATGCGTCGACGCATGAAGACCCGAGAGTGACAAGATTGTTTCAACCAGTATGCGTCGACCTACACAATAGATGTGTGTCAATGCAAGCATGCCAAAATATCACAAACACCAATTTTATTAATTGTCAGTCGACCTATGCCCTGTATTTGTCGACCTAAAGCATCGAAATGACTTAAAACACATTTTACACATAGAGTATGATCCTATATGCCTAGATTCATATATGTGGATCTTTTATGCACGTTCGAATAATAGTAATGGTGTACACATTGATGACTTAGGATTCCCAATAATAGTAATGGTGTACACATTGATGACTTAGGATTCACTCGGGCCGACCTTGGCAAGGCATCTTTTATGACTGAACCATTCATCATGGCTTCTTAAGAAAAACAAGTTTTCTATGTTACCGACCCATCGGACATATCGGGGAAATGGTCAATCGTTCTCCAAGGAAAAAACATTCCTCTTAGTGATGAAAGTCTTGATATTTCGTCTGCGCCTTCTTACACAACACAAGTTCCAACCTCATATGATAAAGTTGATGGAGATCTCGTGCATGCTATTCGAATTGATCATGAAGAAGGCATATGGGAAAATTAACAAGTATGTAATTTATTCTTTATTCATAATATATTAATTGTATATTATAGTTTCTAAGTATTTTTACTAACAAGTATAATTATTTAAAATCATAGGTCTTTAGAGTCAAGACACCAAGAGACAAGAAACTAAAACACCAAGTTACAATTATGTGATGTTATGTAATGTGTAAATTGTAGGTTATTTGTTCTGATAAATTGTAAGATGTTTGTTCTGATACAATTGAATATGCTACAATTATGTAATATTATGAATATGATACAATTAATATTATTATGATAACTTTCTCACAAATGTGAATTGTATTTTCTGCTGTGATATGGTTAACAATAGTACATGTTAAAAAATGAGATTAATTATAAAAGCAAGAAAATATTTTTTAATTCTACAGAAAATGTAACAACGATTATGTATCATAACCGTGATAATATTTGTTAATTCTGCAGAAAATTTAACAACGGTTATTTATCATAACCGTTATAATATCTCGCGCGTTGTCCAGAAAAAAATAAATATCAAAACGGTGCAGCTAGGAATCGAACCTAGGACCATTATTTTTATCACAACAATTTTTTTGAAAATCCGTTGGGATAGGGCACACACTTTCTAGTTTATTACAACGGTTACTGGACCGTGATTGTAAGTATCATATATACAACGACACTCTACATAACAACGTCTGTGTCCGCGTGATTATATATCATTCCCATCCGTTGTTAAACGGGTTTTCCGTAGTAGTGTTTTGGCAAAAAATTGGATGAAGCCAAACTGCTTGGCTACCAAATTTGGACAATAGGCAGCCACCCCAAACCCTATTTTTTCATAAGAGATTATTTACCAAAATTTCGTGGACCTATATTTGGTCCTCGGGAAAAGAGGATGAGAAAGCCATCTTGAACTAGTCTAGTCAGTGGCTTCGACTAATAAAAGGTGCCATAGTCGAGATAAATGCTTTACAGTGATGGAACATGAAGAAGCACTTTTCAGAGATTTCTTTCGATAGAGTATTTCCATCATCTGGCATGACCATGGCAAGCCTTAGGCCCTTGTTTCTCTTCTTAGATCAGGTGAGACGTTAACACTGAGGGAGAGTTCGAAGGTGACATTAAGCCACAACTGCAAAAGCCGGATGGGCCCAGAAAATATAAAAAATTTCCTCAAGTTATTCTCTTTCCTTGAATTCACGAGAGTAAATCCCCAAGGATTCATATAGGTTGCCCAAAATCAATTTCAAGCAAATGTTTCTCTTCTCATAAAGCTGAGTAGCCAAAGGAATAAATTTCTTGGCTATCTGAAGAGAACTGGAATAAAAAAAACAAAGTGAGATAGCCAAAGGGTAAGAAAGGCTATATGTTCCTAAGAGTAGTGTCGAAGATTTCCCTAGTTGGTCGAAGGCCAACAGTTTCTACTAGGCCAAATAATGTAGGGGTAACCATCCCACACGGTATATGAGATGTG